TGGTAGATCAAAGGGTAAATGCATATGTATATTTTTTTAGATATTGGAAAATTCCCTTATAAAATGGCTGTACCAGTTTGCATTCCCATCAATAACATATAAAAACATCCAGTTTTCTACAGCCACACCAATAGAAAGTGTGGTCATACAAAAACCACACTCTCAACATAACTAGAAGACAAAGCGCCAACTTCAAATTGCCTATAAGAAAACAAACAAAACAAAAACAACCCAGCAGTCTTTCACACTGCTCCTAGAAGCCTCTGTGGTCAGCAAGGGTAGTCTATGGAAAGACTTTATGAAAGAGAAAAAAGCTGTTCTAACAGAGTCCTCAAATTGCTCCAGAACCATTACCAGAAAGTAAGAGTCTTCTGTAACCATGAAAATGCTGAAAAGGTGCCCTTGCAGACCAGAGCACTAACTACATGCACTACCTTTAGGAAAGGGGCATAAATATAATGTGATCTGAGTTGATAGGCTTTGAAAGTGTAGCTTCTGAAAGAGGAGGCAAAAAGGAAGAAGAGCCATCCTTTGACAATAGAATGGCAGGAAAAAAAAGTTGTGGAGTGTTTTGAGACAAAACAAGAATTGGAAGGAATGCAACTCCTCTCCCCTCTGCAGCTTCCAATATAGGTCAGCCTCAGGTCACAGCAAGTTGGGGTATGCTAGAGTGTGGTTCTGGATGAGAAAACAAAATATCTATCACTGTAGGAGACTTATAAATAGGAAGAAAGTGGAGAGTTGATGAACAAACTGGGGTAACTAAACTAAAAAGCTGAAAAGATTATACTGAGCCAAAAAATATGCCTGAATTGTGATTTAAGGAGGTTCCATGGTGATGAGTGACTCAGGTAAAGTGAAGGAGGTTATTAGAAATCAAAAGGTCAATAAGACCAGAGGCATGAGTGTGTTATAAGGAGTAATCCTTGTCAATGTGAAGTAATTATGAATAATACCAGATTGTAGGATGGTTGGGAGACACTGAGCCAGGTTCCAAAGCCCTCAACAGACAGAGAGAAAGTAGGGGGATTGCAATAACAAGGAGTGAAAGATCATACAGTGGGTTTGAATGTCCAAACAAATCTCTGGTAGGCAAAAATCTCTCTCACTGCTCTTTCACACCATATACTACCAGGCATAGAGGTAAAGTTGGTGCCCTATTTGATTTATCATTGCTATTTGCAGGCCAACCCCCCTTCCTTTCCACAAAACCTTTCCTTTGAGTCAGTCACATGTCATCAGAATGTAGCACCTGCTACTTTCTTGTTTGCAGTCATCTTCAGATGTACAAACCATTCTATCTCATTTCTTGAAGATTTTAGCTCCTGGCAAGTAACTCTCTAACATTAATTCCCATGCTTCTTGATTTCAGTATCAATTAAGATGTTCCATGGCCTCCTCTACCCCAATACTTTTGTCCACCATTTTACTTCAACTTCTCATACCATAGTTCTGTCTAAATCCTTGCATCATCAAAATCTAGAAGGCTTGTTTTAGTTTAATGTCAACTACAATAACATAGCACATCAATCTCCAAAATGTTAGAACTCATACATGACAGTTTATTTCTTCTTCGCCTGAAGTTTAAAGTGGGTGGTCCTGATTAGCAGACAGCTCTCCTTAAAGCAATGACTCAAGCCCCTTCCTTTTTGTGGTTCTGTTAACTTTAGCATGTGAATTATTAGGTTGCTGCACTCACCTTCATCAATTCAGTGTAGGGAAAGAGGCAAGGAGGATTGCATATGGGAATGTTTTAGGGACAGACTTAGAAATGCCACGCATCTCTGATCATGTTCCTTTGGCCAGAACTCAGTCCTATGTCCACACTTAACTGCATGGGTGCCAGGAAATGTGTCTAACTTTGTGCCCAAAATGAAGGGGAACTGTATTTGTGGACAGCTTTGTCCTCTGGTCACCAATTCGGTTTTACTCTCAATTGAGGCATTCTTATTTCTCACTACTGCATATTACCATTCCAGTTCACTCTAAATAGCCCCCCAAGTGTAACGATGACATGATTCCATTAAGGCCTACAAAATACTGATCGTGTTACTCATCATTTCTCACCACTCATACGTCTTCACTTCCCTTCTCACATAGCTTAAATTCTATGGTCCATCATTTTAATCACTCCCTTGTGCACATGCTCAACTCATGTCATCAAATTCACCTGGGAACACTCACTCATGATTAAATCTGAGCAACTGCTTTTTTCTGAGACTGTATCTAGAAAGCGAAATGACTGCAGAAAAACTCAGAACCAAGCTTGTTGATTGCACTCTAAATTCAAGAGCACTTACTCAACTGGGCCTTTAACATTGCCTGCTAATTTACTAAATGTCGCTAGTCCTTTCCTTCTCTTCCTCTCTTCAAACATAACACCTCCTCATGTATCATCATTTTCATAATGACCTTGATGTATACGTTCCCGAGAAAACAGAAGAAATGTGAAGAAAACTTCCAAAATCTACCACCATGGGCATCTCCAACTCACCTGCAATAGTTCCCTCCGTATCTACAGAAGCCCTACATGCTTCCATCTAAGGCCAATCTCTCCACCCGTGCATTAAAAAGAGCTAAAACTTACTAGGCACTTACTCCGTGGCTGGCACTATTCTAAGATCTATGTGTATTAACTTAATTCTCGTTGCAACTGTACGAGGCTGGTACTGATTTTGGGCCCACATTACACATAGATAACTAAGGTACATTGACAAGAAACATTCCTCGACTCCTGAAGCTGAGAAATGCCAGGGCTCCGATTTTTCTCCAGAATCCACGCTCTTCACCAAGGAGTATTATAGGGAAAACATTTGACATTTTAGTAAATTACCCTACCAGAGTGGACAGTTACTCTTTTTAAAGGGTTGTGTGGGAGGACTGAGATGGAAGACATGACAATGAGAAACAAGGAAAACACCTTCACCACCTCTTAACAATTGAGTCATGTGTATAAAAATAAACCAACCACTGGAATAGGCTGCAAAGGAAGCAGTACCTTCAGGAAAGTGGTTGTTTTTAGTTTCGACAAGGAGGAAAAGACACTCAGGACAGGTGGGAAGAAAATGAGGCATTTGCACATTGGGCATTAACCAAAGCAAACAGGGATAGGGTGTGGTAAGACAAAAACTATTCATGTTCAAGTGTTCCTAGAATAGTGACAGTGATAGTGGGCTAAACATTATAACACTCAAACTTCTATGGTGAGCAGGTATAATAACTTGCTGTAACAAATACACATCAGTCTCAAGAGGAAATGCACTACAACTTTTGCAGTCAAAGTAAAATCTTATAGGAGAGCTTACCTTGAGCAAAAATAAAACCACTCAACCTCATAAAGGATACACAGTAAATATAAATCCTGTAAGAAAGTGTCTTTACCCTCAGCAAGCCTACTGTGCATATTTTCTTCAAGGTAAATGACTGTTAAATAGTATTTCTGCTTTTACCCTTATCTAAATAAGATAGCAAGTTCTCGCTATTATAAACCTATTTTATGCTCATTGATTCTAATTTGATCAAGCAGAATAGTTTAGAGCTTATAACTCTCACTTCTACACAGAACACATGACATAGTCTAGCCTGTACTGCAAGCCTTTCATACTACGACCTTCCTGACATTACAATCTCATCTATTAGTGCTCTCTCAATCCCTTCCTGTCTTGAATGCCTCACTCCCTGCCACTCAGCTGCTTAACGAACACAGCTTAAGCACTCCTTATATTCAGGGTTGTAACACTTATAACTTTACCTTCTTTCTCTCAATAAATATATAGTTTGGGCTTCCTGTAGTAAACTATAAGCAACTTGAGGGCAGACACTTGTAGTTATCTTGGTAAGCTCACATTTAGGATATGGCAACTTACACATAAGAGGTGCTCAGCTTTTTTTCTGAATAGCTGAGCCAGTGTTACCATTACTACCCCAGGAAGCACCAGGTTACTAAAGAGCAGAGTAGGCCCTCATATTTAACAAATGAATGAATGAATAGGTGGATATGTGCCTACTCTTAGAACTTTTAGGAAAGTTCAAAGAATTTCCTAATATTAGAAACTATTACAAAATTATTGTTAGTACTGCTAGTTGTGATGACTGTGGTCAAGGAGAACAAAAATTATTTTGAGAAATACAAATTAAAGTCTTTTCAGTGAAATGCCATGAAACCTATGAAATTTAAAGTACTTCAACAGCAAAACAGATAAAGCAAAATGACAAAATAAACATTGCTAAAATAAACCTGGTTATATTCTGTACAACTAGTACAACTTAGTCTAGTCTAACATTTAAAATGCAATTGGCAAGATAACACGAATATGGTAAGAACCTAGAAATGAGTCAGATTGCCTTCAGGTGAATCAGTAACAAGTAACATGGGCACTCTAATAGGAAAGGATATGACATGCTTGAGAAGGTACAATATAGTATAATTTTAAAGTAACTGAAAACTATTCACACTAGTACAACCAAGGGACAGCATTCTGAACTGCCTGTAGGAGGCAGGTAGGGAATCTCCTATTTAGAAATAAAGTAGTCACGTTTAAGAATAAATTTCAAATATTAAGTAAGACCAAAAAATGGGATTATTTATTTCTATTTAGGGAAAATAAATTTTTCTTTATTTTCTTTCAACTTGTATTTTACATTTAAAATCAGTGTCATAAATATAAATAAATGTTACAAAAGAATAAGATTTACAAGTTTGACAACTCACGTCAGAAATAAGAAATAATCTTTTCTTATGTTAATATTTTAATATCTTTGGATACTTTTAAAAATATTAAGTCAATTAGCTGGGCATAGTGGTGCATGCCTGTAATCCCAGCTACTCGGGAGGCTAAGGCAGGAGAATTGCCTGAACCCAGGAGGCGGAGGCTGCGGTGAGCCGAGATCGCGCCATTGCACTCCAGCCTGGGTAACAAGAGTGAAACTCCGTCTCAAAAAAAAAAAAAGAAAAGAAAAGAAAAAAAAAAATTAAGTCAAAGAAGACACCTTTCACAGTCTTCCAAACTGTATTTATGCAATAAAGGAAGACTCAGTCTTTCATTCTATATCCCTCCCTTGAGCTCCTGGTTCACTAGCATGTTTTACCTTTAAAATATTTTGCCAACCCATAAGAAAAGATGAAAATGCCTTGCAGCCAAGGATTACTTTATTATGTGGTTCATCTCTCTTTAGCAGTTTTGCTTAGAAGAGACTGAATTGGGTTTTTATTTGCTTTTGATATCCAAATCATGTTTTTCATTTTTTATTTCTTTTATAAGTATAAATAACATTACAGATCTTGTGGGAATAAAAAGCACTTTTCTTTTCCTTGTGCTCCCATTCTAAATATGAACAAATCTCTATGCTTTCCTACACTTTTAGGAATGGAATCACTCTCAATTCTGCAAGTTGTTCTATTTTCAAGAGGCTTAGGTGTGCTAAGAATGTGAATCCAAGACTGCGTCTTTTCTCTTTGCTTTGTTGACATTCTTAACACACCTGAAAGACAATGAAATCATCCTAAATGGAGAGCACGGCTGCATTTATTGTGTGCAATCTGCAAATAGGTCTAAGAAATTAGAAACAGTCTGTGTACTTGTGGGTATTTTCTTCTTTACTCTTCTTTGGCTATGTCAGCCAGCCCATGGTTACTAGCGTCCCAAGCAAAACTGTCAATGTGAAACACGTGTGGCCTGAAAATTTAAAAAAACAAAAAGTTAAAATCAAAATGATTTTATTTACTAGTGATAAACATTAGTTTTTAGTTACTATGTGATAAGTCACCAAAAAGAATCCATTACTTTGGGGTGCAAAAAGAGATTAACAAGTAATAAAGTATGGATGACATTCTACAGGTGAGGTTTATAAGCTACAGCAACAACTAAAATATGACATGGAGATTTTAGTTTCTTGAGATGAATAGTGGCTAAGCTAGAATGAATTAAGGTATGCTCAGATCAAAAGTGAATGGATTCCTAAGTTTGGGAGATGTTAAAAAATATATTAAAATAAATGAAAATGTCAAAGTCAATAAAAACGCCTGAATACTACATGTGGAAGAGAAGATTAAGAGATGCAGACACTCAGAAAGTTTTACAGATACATTTCTACCAAGTTATTTTTGTGTGATAATTTTATATGAGGATATAAGAGATGTCTCTGACATAGGGAGGGAAGTATCACACAATGGGGTCTGTGGCAGGGGGTACTAGGGGAGGGACAGCAGGGGATGGGGAGTTGGGGAGGGATAACATGGGGAGAAATCCCAGATATAGGTGATGGGGAGGAAGGCAGCAAACCACACTGCCACGTGTGTACCTATGCAACAATCTTGCATGTTCTTCACATGTACCCCTAAACCTAAAATGCAATAAAATATATATATATGTATGTGTGTGTATATATATATATATATATATATATATATATATATAAAGTATTTGTGATATAAAAAAATCTATAAACATGGCCCATAAAAGGTTATCTTAGTACATATTATAATTTATCTTAAACATTGAAAACTCAAAAAGCCACCAAGCAAAAGGAGAAATAAATACAATACAAGGTAGGTCAATTATCTCATGATGCAAATTATCATAATGAAGGCATTCTCTTTAACTCCTACTATGTCATCCCTTCCTCCCAAATATTTGCGGTATTACAGCATCTAAGCATTACAATAAACTGAGTGAAAACACAAGATGAGATGATGAGCATACTGCTACCAAGTCCAGAACTGATGATGTGTCATAGAAATGAGAGAGTCAATGTGTTAGTCATTTAATGAACAAAGAAAAAACAACTCTAGTGACAGTAGAGACTTAACCCTCTATTATCCTTTAAAAGTCATGGAGACCCCCCTAGACAAAGGTGTTAATGGATATTTTGCAAGATTCAGAAATGTGATTTTATTAAGCCATTTATACCTTTCATAATTTACCAGAAAATCTTATTTCTGAGGTACCACCAGTCACACTTAAATGGTGATACACCACACTGAGTGCTTTGTTGCGTTTGTGTGCATTATAAGAGCTGAGTAGTAGAGAAGGGAAAAACGATTGAATTGAATTATATAATTGTCATTTCAATCCAAAAACAAAATCAGGCATTTGCTTACTCTCATCCCTAAACTAAAGTTTATCATACAGACTTAGCTCTTCTAAAAGAAAGACATAAATCCTTTGATAGGTAAACATGAAGAATCATTAAATGAAACCACATTATCACTTGCACATTAACTATATCCCCTGTCTTAATTAAGATCAAATATTTAATTAAATCAGTATAAAATCAGGAGGCTAGCCAAACATACATAAAGCTAACTCTTACCCTCGTTAGCTTATACTTCCAAAATAAGGCAAGTGAAGTTTATGTGCGCACAAAAAAGGCAAATTCTTTCTTAGGAGTTTGCATGAATTTCCCTCTAATTCAGAAAATGAGCAATTAAGTTTCCTGCAAAACCCCAAAATACAATTCTAAACAAATACCATAGTCTCCTTATCTGTGGTTTCAGTTATCCTTAGTCAACTACAATCTGAAAATAGGTGAGTACAATACAATAAGACATTTTGAGAGAGAGACAGAGAGAGACCCCATTCACATAACTTTTGCTACAATAAATTGCTCGAATTGTTCTACTTTATTACTAGTTGGTGCTAATCTCTTACTGTGCCTTATTTATAAATTAAACCTTATCTCATAGGTAGGTCCATACAGGAAAAAAAACCAGCATATATAGGATTAGGTACTATCTGTGATTTCAGGCATTCACTGGGGGGTCCTGAAACATACCCCCAAGGATAAGCAGAAATTACTGTATTCCCTCCTTCTATGTTCCAGCACTTTGTGTCCTTAATAGAACATACAAGTATCACAGCCAATCACTTTACCAAAGTATGTAAAAAAACTGATGAAAGCCAAGAGACAGCATCTGGTAAACTTAGCACATGCTGCTACCCCCTGCCCCCCAACCAATCCCCACTCCCACCAATCCAGGGAGCCTCAAAGCAGCTTTGGTAAACTGATAATACTCTCTACATTGATAATTTATAACTTGATAAATTGATAATAGTATTTCAAAAGGAGATTTGGAACAAATACAAGATAATACATAAGATTGGTGGTTTAATTTTTTTCAGAGCAGCTTTGCTGAAGCTTTCATACCAGCTCACTTTAGATGACTTAGAACTAACTCTGTGAGTTTTTGCTAGGCTCTAAATCACATTCCTAAAAAGTTTTTAATATATCTGGAGAAAAAGTTATGTTTGACTATATTTGCTATTGTGATAGCTAGAATATTTTGATGATATTAAACAAATGCCTGTAAAAATTATTAATCACTCCCCTGGACCTAATAGTCAAATATTTTTCTAAAAGACTGACTCATTTAGTGAGTTAAAGAATATTTACATACTTTAACTTATAATATGCTTAAGTAATATTTTTAATTTAAGAAGAAAGGAAAGTTGTGGAGGGTAAAAAGTAGGTCAAATCATGCAAATAATTAAATCAGACAATTTAATAACAGCATTAAAATACAGTTTTCTTATTCGTTAACAGGCATTAGGGCAGCTTAGAAATAACTCAAGTTTGCATAAACTCCACAACTAGTTTTCTGAACAGTTAAATCTACAAAACAGAAGAGGGTAGATTTAAATCATCCTCTGTCTACAGGACACATCAGAGCCAATCCTAACATTTATACTTAATGTTATGTGTATTCAATGGAGATTAGATATTTTAAATAACACTGATGTGTGTGTGTGTGTGCTGTTGCTGTTTTAACATCTGAGTGCTCACTATGTGCCAAGCAATGTTCTAAGCACTTGACAGGTGGCTCATTTGATCCTTACTATAATCACATGAGGTAGGTACTGTATTTCCCCCATTTTACAAATAAGAAAACTGAGGCATAGAGAGGTTAAATTACTCAGTCAGATAACTCCTAAATGGTAGACTCAGGATTCAAACTGAGCCATTGGGCTCCAGAGCCTGCTGTCTTAACCACTGGGCTGCTTTAAGCTGGACTGGCATCTATCCACAAATATAATTGAGAAAAAGGCCTAATCACAGGCAATTTCACAGTATGTTTGAGGCTGACTTTTCCTAGATTTCCCTGCTTCTGTACAATACAGAGACACTACTGTAAATTATACTGAGTGGAAAAAAGGGTGAGTGGATCAATAGATCACAAAATGAGACTTCAATTCACTTTCCTTTGAAATGTGCCTTTGAACATATTGAGAAAAAAGAAACATGAAGTCTGCTCATCCAGGATAGCAGTTATAGACAAAATGAATAAAAAAATGCCAAAAATTAAATAAAGCTAAGAGAGTTATCGACTGATACAGTACCAAATTTTACTGAAAAGGAACTAGGAATAAATTTTAAAAATCATCAGAATTTCTGCTCACCCTGATTTTCCAAAGTCCAATGACTAGAATTAGGGTACCACTTAATAGAGTACCAGCAAGAAATCCTTGAAGGGGAAAAAATACGGTAACACAGTTAATAGAAACATGAGTAATTACAGATTACATTATGCTTCACAATGGCATACATACTGGTTATGAAGTGAGTTAAAAAATAGGAGACATTAATTGCATTTTATATATGGCTTCCTTATGTCACAAGTTTTTGACCTATAGGTGTTTTATTTGTCCTGTTTTCTTTGAAAGAAAAAGGAAGAAAGATATTTAGAGTATCACAATGCTCAAATAAAATTTTCTGGGCAGGTTTGAGGGGATTCTAAAGTGTTTCAACCCAACCATGCTTGCTTTTACATGTTTAATTCATTGAGCATTCAAATATGGTGACAGAATTATGTTATTTTAGAGCTAGAAAGTATCTTAGAGTTCACTTTTATTTTTTAGATGAGTAAACTGAGTCTCAGAAAGAAGGAAGTTACATATTAACATATGTGGTTAATGGGAAGGACATTTACTTCCTTTATAGTAGAGATAACAGATATGCAGGCATTTCTCCATCACAGGAAATATGTCTGTACAATTATCAGCTGCGATTAAAGGGCAAAATAGCTTTGCTTTGCCTACATAATATGCTTTTCAGTGTTCAGTCTATTGTAGATTAAATTTCATTTAAAAAAGTTATATTCACTTTTAAGATTAAATGTACTGTTTTGAGCTGAACAGCAAATAATTGGTCAAGGAAGTTGGTCAACATCAAATCACTTTTATAGCTTACACAATCTTTCTTCTCAAATGCACCCATTTGCCCATTTCTCTAACTATCCTCGTTCTCCCTTTCCTCACCAACACTGCCCTCCACCCCTACTATCAACAACTCTGCCCTATGTCCCTGGACTCAACTCTGTAGGTCTGTACTACAAAGGAAATGATAGATGAGGCTGGAAAAGCAACTGAAGCTAATGTGACTAATGAGTGTGTTTGACTTCAAATCAGCAAAATGGAGACACTGTACAATTGCACTGCCATATGGAAATGTTATTTTAAAAAAACAGCTCATTCTACCACAGGTAAGTTTTTACAGTATTTTACTTTATAAGTTTATTTAACTGGTACTTTAGCATTGTATCATTAACTTAAAAAGCCTATCCATGAAATAAACCACAGCTCCTAAAAAATTTTGGGTTTCTCTTCCCATCACCAGTTCCCACTAATTCCATCATTTTCAATATCTTATTTTTTATTTGAATGATAAATCAAGATAGAAA